GTAACCTTAGATTCTTTCAGGGTTTTCGTAATCGTACGCTCGTAGTTTTTCAGTGGCTATTCATCCATTGCTTGCTCTGCCGCTCTCTAAAAATGTTCTGGATACATTAGCTACAATTGCAAAAACGTACCCTGGCCATTTTCTTCCATCCAGCCTCCGAAAAACGCAACATACGATAGCCAAGGATAGCGGCAGCGATTCTAATGTGAAAGATGCAAGTCCACCTATGGACTTGTTTTGGGAACTGGTCCAGGTGATGCGAAGTCTTTTCAGATATAGGTTTTGAGTATTCAGAGTCGAAATTTTACATTTGTAGGCATCATCATGCAAATCTCTCACTGCTAAAGAAGCGCGAGAAAGTGGGGAGCGCATGTCGTTAGAAACGTCCCATGTTGGTCGTCTAATGCGACATTTGAGTAAACCTGTGGTTGCAAAAACGGGCACCATTCAAGATCGTCTTCTGCGGGTTATTAGCACGGTACGATTTCCTTTTAGTGTTTTTGCTGAGGTGGGAGTATTTTCTAGAAGCGGTCAAAATTTTCTTCATTTTCTCTTGTCTGTTCTACTTGTTCTGTTATCAGATCAATGAATATAAAGTTCTTTCAGTTGTAAACAGCTGAAAAGAATGCAGAATAATCTTTTTTTGATGCACTTCGTCCCTCTTTTAAAGCATCGTTATTGTTGTATATTTCATTGAGCTCAAGTGCTTTCAGATTGTTCAAACTCTTCCCAATGATACAATGACACTATTGGGTAATTTGGAAGGAGCACACCCACTCGAGAGCCAGCTTAGGGCAGTGATTGATGTGCTTATGCGTGGCTCGTGTAGCAACGAAGGCTTGGCTGATGGACGGTACGTTTCAAATTTTATTACATTAAAGTGGTGTCATGCTGCGTTATACTCTGTTACTCTTCGACATCGCAGCATCCCTTAAGTTTCATAGTTTTTTTCAACAATCATAATTATCGGCAACGCTTTGCATTTTAGTACACTTCTCGTTGAATGTATGCGTGCTCTTCCTCCGACAATAACGGACACCATT